AAACATTCAAGTAACCAGAAACATTCAAGCAACCAGAAACATTCAAGCAACCAGAAACATTCAAGCAACCAGACCTCGAGTTGCTGTGCATCAACCAGATCGCAGCAATACTAAAGATGTCCTTGTTATCACTGATTTCTTTACAAAGTATGCTGTAGCAATTCCTACACCGAACCAAAAGGCTCGTACTGTAGCAAAAGCTCTGTGGGAAAACTTTATCATCCACTATGGCTTCCCAGAAAAATTGCACAGCGATCAAGGAGCAGACTTTGAATCAAAAACTATTAAAGAGCTATGTAACCTAGCCGGAATACAGAAAGTCAGAACATCACCCTACCACCCCAGGGGAAACCCAGTAGAGAGGTTTAATAGAACCTTATTAAACATGCTGGGTACGCTCAGCGGTGATGTCAGAGCCGACCCGGTTCTGAAGAACCTGCTGATCCTGACTTCAGTTTGTAAAACCAAAACCTTTCAAACTGATGGAAAACAAGCAGGAATCAGCTGATAATGAACCGGATCTATTTGATGAGAACTAGTTGACCTCTGACCTTTTCTGTTTGCTTTTCCCTGTTTGGTGTCTGACCATGTTTATTTATTTGTTGTTTTGTTTTTTACTGTCATCTTATATTTTTATATTTGCATAAAAAACATAAAAATATAAAATATATTTGGAAAATTGTTTTTTGCAAACATTGTTCATAAAAATATTTTGATGAAATTCTCCACATTGAACCACAGCGACACCCAGCGGCCACACGGAGGTACTGACGGTGTTCATCATTAAATCATCTAAACTGGAGAACCAGAGAAGAACCGGACCCACCAGAACTGGTTCTCCATTAATGGTCAGCAGCAAAACATTATGACCACCAACCTGTGAGCTGCTGAACCCAAACCAGAGATTAAAGATGGAAACTGGGAGGACTGGAGCCACTGGTTGGATGGGAGAGACCAGAATCCGACCAGGAACCAGTGAGACCTACTGGGAGGACTGGTGAGAGACGAGCCGCTGGAACCAGAACCTGAGGTTCTGATCCAGAACCAACAGCCAGCTGAGGTCACAGGGTCAGTTAGAGAGAAGGTCGGATCAGAACCAAGAAGCTCTGAGGTGATCAGAGAGAGGAAGGTCATCCTCATCATCATCAGGAAACTCCTGCTGCTGATTGGCTGCTTCAGGTTCTGCTGAACCGGTTCTGTTGGATCGGATCAGAGCTTCAGTTCCTCATACTTCCTGAACCAGCAGCAGGTCCGGACCGGTTCTGGTTCTGGTTCTGTAGGAGGGAGGCGAACAGAACCTCAGCTCACCTCGTGGAGCTGAAAAATGATCAGAACATGAGGATGAAGAAAATATGATCAGGAAGAAAACTATCAGATTTATAATGGATCAATACTTTAACAGAACCTGCAGCTGCTGCTCAGCCTGGAGCAGAGGGGTCAGAGGTCAGAGGTCAGCAGCTCCTGATTTGTTCCTGGTTCTGCTGTCAGAAAAAGCTTCTGGGTTCTGGTTGGTTCTGGTTAACATCATCATTCATTCTCCATCCACAGCTCTGACATCATCTCCTCTGACATCATCTCCTCTGACATCATCTCCTCTGACATCATGTGCTCTGACATCATCTCCTCTGACATCATTCACGTTTCCTTTATGAACAGATTTCATCCATATGGTGAAACGTTTGGTGGTTTTTATTGTAGAACAATCAAACTTTAGAGTGATTTACTTTTCAGACAGACGATGAAATAAATGAATATCAATAACAGGAATAATAACCTTATTGCCTTATGGGTAATATCTCAGATCCATTTGATCAACAGGAAGTCATCCATCCTGTCCTGCATGGATTCAACCAGAACAGTCATTAAATTAAAAATTAAATCCTTTCCATCTGTTAAACTTTTCCTGCTTTATTATGGAGTGAAATCTGTGAAATCTCCTTCACATCCTGGCATTTTATGTTTAAAGAAATTAATTGTTTTGTACATTTACAGTTGTGTTCCTAAATGTATGTGTTTTTTCTTATTTAATTCTAAACCATATTTATTATTTTGCTAATTTCTCATAATAAAGCTTTCCTCCATAGTTCTGAGTCCAAAATCTGTTAACCAGCTGGAGGCTTTTATTGTGAAAATATAAACCGCGTCCTTCGCTCCGTGCGCATGCGCATTCACACCTCTAAGCTCAGCTGGGGAACCTGAGCTCAGAGTGGATTAGTTGCTTTATTTCATACCCCGGAATGGACCCGCCGAACCGGAACCGCTCCAAGAGAACCAGATGGGTCTCCCCCTCTGGTCCCACCGACCCAAAGGTCAGAGTTCATCACACTGGGAGCTCCGTGGGCAGACACGGAGCTCATTGGCTGTACTGGCTGAACTGGTCATCAGATTAACTGAGGCTCTGGTTAAAACGCTGCTACTGACAGAATGTAGGTGTCTGCGGCGATGCCTGATTAAAACATCAGAGTCACAGTGAGCAACGCGCTCAGTGGTGTTCTAGATCAGCTGGTTATCGGGTTAACTAGTGTTAAGGTCAGTCTGGTCTTCAGGTTACCTGGTGCTGCTGTTTGAGTGGGTGAAGGTTGTAGGTGTCCTTCTGATGCCTGATTAAATCACGACCTTCAAACCTTCGACCTTCCATTTCTACTGGTGCTTTAGTTAAAATGGTAACCAGTTTAACTGATGCTCTGATTTGGGGTCAGATTGGTGTTCTAGTTGATCTGGACATCAGTTTATCTGCGTGATGTTTATTAAAACACTGGTAGCAATCTGACTGGTGTTTTAGTTCGCTTGGTCATCAGGTTAACCTTGTAGCTGAACAGGTTATCAGTAGAACTGGTGTTGCAGTGATTCTAGTCATCAGTTTATCTGCTTGTGCTGCTGACAGGGTTTATGAGGGTTGTCTGCGCTGATGCCTGATTAAAATAATGCTGTCTGACTGATTCTTGTTGGCGTTAGATTGTGGTGAAGGCGACCCACCACCACACATTTTTAAAAGCAGAGCACATTCAAGATGCTCAAAGTAGTAAATGAGGTGGAATCGGAGGTTCCACCTCAACTTCAGCTTGAAAATACCAACCAGAGATCTGATGTACGGAAACCATCTCACTCTTTGTTCTGTCTCCTCCAGAAACCTGAGAACCAGGAGGGGAAACACCACTGCTGTTCTCACTGTGGGAAGGTCTTCAGCAGAGCGTGTGGCCTGTGGAGACACCAGAAGATCCACAGAGGGGAGAAGCCGTACAGCTGTGGTGAGTGTGGGAAAACGTTCAGCCAGGCGGCCCACCTGAAGCGGCACCAGAACATCCACACCGCGGAGCAGAGCTTCCTCTGCCCGCTGTGTGGGAACAGCTTCACCCAGAGGGAAACCCTGAAGCTGCACCTGGAGCGTGTCCACGGCCGCCTGCAGCCCTACGGCTGTCAGGACTGCGGGAAACGTTTCTCCAAGCGCAGCAACCTCAAGGTCCACCAGCTGCTGCACAGCGGAGAAAAGCCACACGCATGTGAGGCCTGTGGGAAGACATTCAGGGACCGCAGCCACCTGAGGAACCACCGGGTCACCCACAGCGGGGAGAAACCCTTCTGGTGCGAGGAGTGTGGGAAGATGTTCACCCGGCCCGGTTCCCTGAGGAAACATCAGAGGAGCCACACCAGGGAGAGACCGTACTGCTGCGACCGCCGGGTCAACCTGGAGCATCAATGTTCTGCAGATGAAATGTTTTGTTCTGAGCCAAAATAAAGATTTAAAATCAGTTTTTATTCTGAGTCGTCTTTGTTTCCAGATCAGAACCTGCAGGCTTATAGTTCAGACTAAACTGTGACTTTATTTATTGGTTCTTAATTTTATCTATAAGCTTAGTGGTTTTGTTTTCCCCAGAACATCTGGATAATACATAGTTTGTTTTGTGGATATAAATAAATCCTGGTTTTATTCAGTCATGCAGAATGCCTTCCTCGTTCCAACTTAACCTCTGCTAGCCACACGCAGCTCCTGCTAACTGTAGCCTAGCAGCTAACAGACATAGCTAGCAGAGCGGCTAATTCTCCTTGTTAATCAGATAAAAACATTGTTTTACAGTTTAGACCTCAGTCTCAGTGGTTTAAGGTGAACTGCTCTCATTTTCCTTTTTTATGCCACTAAGTTACATAAAGTAAATGTCCCATCTTAAAGCTAACGCTAGCTAAGCTGGATGTAGCGCTGGGCTACAGTGAATCAATAAAGATCAAACAATATTTAAACTGTTTTCATGGTACCAAGTAGATCAATACAACCAATGACCCACAAGGTTATTGATTTCTAATTTCTGATCCATTTCTAATTCAGCCAATTGGTTGGGAAGAAAACGAGGAGTCAGTCTGGAGTTTCTGTTCTGGTCTTTATTGGAAAAACTCTCCTGGATCAGATCATGATGTTGGTCCTGCTCACACACACACACACACACACACTCAGACGGGAATAAAAAAGTAGAAAGCTGTGCTAGAAGAAGTCGAGGTCGTCCGGAGCGTCCAGGTCTCTGTACTCGATGATGGACCGCGGGTCGCCCCTCAGGCCCCTAAACACAGACAGAGGTTCTGATTGGTCCAAACAGACACAGAGGTTCTGACTGGACCACAGGTCCGGTTCTGCCTACCTGCTGCTCCTCTGTTTCCCTGGAAACACACCTCCTCCTCCTCCTCCTCCGCCTCCTCTGAAGTTGTCATAGTGACCGCGGCCCGGCCCAAACTGGCCCGGCGCCAGGTGGGGTCCAACACCTGCGGGTCCAAACAGAGCGTCAGCCTGGCTCCGCCCCCTGCGGGCCCCGACCCGGAGCCTCACCTACCTGGGAATCCGGGCAGCGGCGGCCTGATGCCTGGAGGGTATCCCAGAAGGCTTTGCTGCTGCGGAGACTGACCAGGAAACGCCGCCATGCCTGGAGGACCGGCTGGGGGCGGAGCCAGAGGAGGGGTCAGAGGTCAACCGGCCAACAGCATGCTAACGTTAGTCTAGTCTCCATCAGAGGCCAATCAGGTACCTTGAGCCGGCGGTGGGAGGGGCTTGTGCTCAGGGAGGGCGGGTCTCTTGGCGTCCAACAGGAAGTTGTTGAAGAACTCCACTTCCTGTCTGACGGCGGTCACCTTCTCGCCGTGTTTGTTCAGGATGTGTTTACGGACGAACTCTGGAGCCTAAACAACAACACCACTGTCAGCCCCCGTTACCGTGGCAACCAGAGAGGGGGCGGGGCCTCACCTTGAACTTCTTCCCACTCAGAGGACAGAGCCACTTGTCCTTACTGAGCTCCTGGGTGTTGGACGCCAGGAACGTCTCCACCTGGGGACAGGAGACAGACAGGTAGAGACAGACAGGTAGAGACAGACAGGTGGACAGACAGACAGAGACAGGTGGACAGACAGACAGGTAGAGACAGACAGGTGGACAGACAGACAGAGACAGGTGGACAGACAGACAGGTGGACAGACAGACAGGTAGAGACAGACAGGTGGACGGGTAGAGACAGACAGACAGGTGGAGAGACAGACAGGTGGACAGGTGGAGAGACAGACAGGTGGACAGACAGGTGGACAGACAGACAGGTGGACAGACAGGTGGACAGACAGACAGGTGGACAGGTACAGCACCTCCTGTTCCGGGTCTTTCTTTCCCAGCCGAACTGCTTCCTCTTCGCTCAGCGTCTCCGTCGGTGAGAACAGAGGAGCCAGACGCTCCTCACACATCCGCAGGTGTTCAGTGGCTGTCCAATCAGAGCACAGCACCACCTTCATCATCATCACATTAACTGTCCTCAGCCTCCTGCTGGTTTCTCTTATAACCTCTCTGTTCTTTAAAGGGCCAGCGTTACGTTTGGTCATTTATGTTCATGTCCCACCAGGAGGACCTGAGCTGAGACCCTGGACAGGCTGGAGGGACGATGTCTCTCATCTGGCCTTGGGATTCGTCCAGAGGAGCTGGAACAAGTCTGGGCCTCCCTGCTCAGGCTGCTGACCCCACGACCCCGGATGGGTGGATGTTTATTCATGTCTATGTGTTTTCGTAGCTCCATTTTATTACATAATCAGAAACTGTCACCTTCGGTTATATCAAACACGACTTAACAGAAAATTCATTTTGTAAATTGGGCCTCTGTCTCTTTAAGAAACTCCTGCTCTTTCTGAAGTCATTCCAACATGGCTCCTCTATTAACCCTTTAACGTTTTTACCAGCGTTGCTCTGAGCAGCAGCTCCTTAAGGAGCTCAGCTGATGTTTGCTAATTGCTGCTGGCTAGTCTGAAGGAGCTGAGCCTCGGAGGCGGGGCTAGGTCCACCCAGGCGTTTAGCAGCTGAATGGTTGTCATGGAGATGAAAGGATTTCTGAAACATGAAACACTCCAGGGAAAAATGTAGAGCTGATCCTGTACTTTAACTAGGCCGTGTTGCAGTGCAGCTCACCCTCTGCTGGAGTGATGCGGGCCACCGGCAGCGGGCCGCGGACATGGACTAGGCCGCAGCGGTGAGGCATCTCGTCCTCCGCAGGATACTCACAGAAGTTATAGTAATCCACCGAGTGAACGAGGCGCAGGTAGAGCAGCAGGCGGTCCAGAACCTGAACACAGAACCGGGTCAGAACCTGAACTCAGAACCGGGTCAGAACCTGAACTCTTCACACACCGTCACAGGCCCCGCCCACCTGCAGCAGCTTCTGGTCCGTTTCCACGGGAACGTCGGTGGCCTTGGGGTCGTCGTCGGCGCCGGCGGCTCCGATAAGCTCCTCCTCCTCGGCGCTGACCTCCTCGATCAGATAGTCGGTGATGTTCTGTAGAACCGGGTTGGTCTCCGCCTGCAGGAGCAGAGGCGTTCTGGGTGAGCGGGTCGGGTTCTGGTTCTGGTCGGGTTCCGGGCGGTTCGGTACCTGCGTGGTCCACAGCGCCCCCCGCTGGTCCAGGCTGTGGACGAGGCGCGCCGCCAGCCGGACGTCGTTCCTCGCCACGGGCCGGTGGTGCGTCAGGCCGTTGACGGTCCGGACCCGCCGGCTCAGGTCCCGGTTCACCACCGGCGCCAGCTCACAGTCCCTGAGCTGAGACAGCAGAACCAGCTGTTAGCGGCCCGGTTCTGGAGGTTCTGATGGTTCTGATGGAGCTCTGGGTTACCCTGACGTTCTGGAGGTTCCAGCACGTCTCCTTGATGTTGACGCTGCGGTCAAAGGTCACCCAGCAGCGCCGGAAGAACCTGCAACACAGACAGTCAGGCCGCCGGTTCTGATCCGGTTTTGAGCACCGGCAGTACCGGGTCGACCAGCTGAGACAAGCAGTACCTCCGCTCTGGCTGAGGGTCCGACAGCGCCACCCGCAGGAAGCCGGGGTACCTGCGACAGAGCTGCAGACAGGAAGTGGGTCAGAGGTCAGAGGTCAGAGGTCAGTCTGAGCCAGATATCTCTGGTCTAGTTCAGGTCCGGTTCCGGTTCTTACGGCGGTGACCTCGTCCTTGGCGACCTCCGGAGCGATGCTCCTGATGAACAGGGAGGTGGTCAGGTGCAGGGGGCGTGGCGTGGGCGGAGCCTCCTCTCTCTCCTGACGGCGCTCTGAAACAACAGGAACACTGTGACCTCTGACCTTCAGGGCGGAGCTCCAGCGTGTCTCTGGGGTTCTGACCCTCTTCCTCCTTGTCAGAGTGGGAGGAGTCGGAGTCGGAGCCGCTGCCCTCGCCGCTGTCCGCCGACAGGCTGCGCTTCCTCTTCCTGCCCTGAGAGGAAGAGGCGGGTGGTTACCATGACGATGAAGGAAACCCTGCAGGAGTTTAGTAACTGCAGACATTTGGAGTAAAACTGATTCACAGAATCGCTTTGTTTCTCACGCCATCAGCAGAACAGAGGCAGCAGTGCATTCTGGGTAATGAGTACGCCCAGACAGCAGGGGGCGCTGTGACCATTCAGCTCAGATTAAATCACTAAGCTGAGCTGAAGATCCATAAATTAAACATTTGAAAGATTTATTTTTAGTTTAACAGAATAAATCTGTTAATATGAAAGTTTCTGATTCAGGATATTTTTCATATATTCAAATTTTTTAATCTGCTTTAGTTCAACAAAAACAAAACCTGGACTAGAATATTCTGCTCTATTTTCATTTATACAATAAATATTCAATAAATAAGTTTATTTTATGTTGTTTAACGTTGAAACATCCAGAGAAATGATCCTGCAGCTGTTTCCTCTCCTCTCTCATCTTAAACAGCGCCTCCCTGTGGCCTGGAGGTCAGCAGCTTCCGTCCTATTTAAATTCTCATATTTATGATGCCTGGATCAATAGTTTAAATCCAGTTAGTTTGTTTCTAGTTAATGAATGAAATCATCTACAGATGATCTTCACAGCCATCAGAACCAGAACCTTCAGAACCAGAACCCCTGATGACGACGATGAAACTCACCTTCTTCATCGTCTTCTCCTCCTCTTCCTCTCTCTCCTCCTTCAGGCTGCCGGGCTCCTCGTGGTTCTAGAGACGACATGAGACCATCAGGAGGTTCTAATGGACCCAGCAGAACCAACCGGATCAGAACCGGTTCTCCATGCTGTCGGTTCATCCCGTTAGACTCAGAGTCTAAAGTTTTGGCACGTCTGACTGAATCTCAACGTTCTCTGAAATAACTTGATAAATAACAATAGATAATAATAATAAATGATAATAAATGATCAATAATAACCAGACGTTGGTTTCTTGTGGTTCAACAGAATCATTTAAACTGATAAACAGAACTGGACCGGAGCAGACAGCCTGACTAACTCAGCTTTTACTTCTATGGAAAACTCAACCACAGAAGAAGAGATTCTGCTGAGTCAGCAGTGAACCGCCTCATGGTTCTGGTTCCGACCTTGTCGGGTTCCTTGGTTCCCTCAGCGCCGTCCGACCCGGCCGCCTCCGGCCCGCTCTGAGCGCCGCCGCTTCCCTCCGTTGGAGCCGCCTGGCTCTTCTCTGCTGCGTCTCCGCCGCCCCCTGCTGGAGCCTCCAGGACCTGCAGGTCAAAGTCCGTCCCTCCCTCCATCTTGATCACAGCTGCAGAGGCCAACAGCACCGCGTTACCCAGAAGCCCCCAGTCAGGACCACGTTACCCAGAATGCCCTGCCTACCTGCGTCCAGCAGCTTGATGATGGCCGCCTCGTGCTGCATGTCCAGAGAGACGCCGTCCAGCCAGCGGTTGTCCAGCAGGAACAGGAAGACGGCCAGCCGGGTCTGCAGGGCGCCCAGAGACTCCGCCCTCCTGGCTGTGATGTCATCAGGGTGGTACTTGGACCGGAACCACTCGTGGTCCTTGTGCTGGACGAAGAAGTCCTGCAGCTGCTGGCGCCGGAAGTCCAGTTTGTACTGATTGTAGCGTTTCACCGCCTCCGTCTCGTCCACGCTGTCCTCCATGTTCAGCAGGAACTCCTGGGGTCGCACAGAGGTCACCACCAGGGGTCACACAGAGGTCACCACCATGTTGTTCTGTTCCTCACCTTGAAGCTCCTCATGCTGGGCGGTCCTGGAGGCGGCAGGTCCGGGTCCAGCAGCCCCAACCTGAACACAACAAAAACTATGAGCTGACCCACAACCTGGTTCTGACCCGGTCCGGCCCCGTGGTTCTGACCCGCTGCAGTGACTCACCTGCCCTGTAGGGGGAGCCCTCCAGGGTGGGGGTGCAGGTGGGGGAAGTCATGGTGCCAGGCCTGAGGCCCCGCCCCTGGAAACGGAGCCCCGCCTCCTCCGTAGGGCGGCTCGTAGCGGTACGGCTCCCCCCGGTGGTCCTCCCTGGAAACACACAGACCGTTAGCATGCTGGGGCACAACCGTGAGTCACGTCGGATCAGAACCGGGTCAGAACCAGTTAAAACGGGTCAGAACCAGTCAGAACCTCACCAGTCTCTCCTCAGCCGTTTGTGCTGCGGGCTGATGTGTCGCGGCGGGGAGAAGCGGTCCCGGCGGCCGCGGTCGTAGTCCCGCCTCCTCTCCCTGCCGCGCTCCCACTCCCTGAGGCCAACAGAACCAGAACCATCAGAGGGTCCACAACAACTCAACACAGAACACTGGAAGAACTGCAGAGCCAGACTGAGCCAGTACCAGAGTCACCCGCTGGTCCAATCAGAACCTCTGGTTCTTTGGTTTAACTGGAACCTGAAGGTGTTTATTTTCCATCATGACGTCAAATTTGATTTATTGTTTTCACAATAAATCAAAATGAATGTGTGAAACTGTTTTTCTGCCAGGACTGATAGCTTCAGTATTTTATTCTCAATAAACACCAATAAATTTAAAATAAATTTAAATAAAGTCCCTGTGAGGAGCTCACTGTTGACCTGGTGATGGAACCTGATGAGCAGCATTTGTGTTAGAGGGGCTGGAATCGGTGCGACACAGCTCTGAAAAATTAATCATCAATAAACTTTGAGTCCATATCCCATCAGTACCGTCACCATGACGACGCTGACCCAAACAGGAAACGGTTCAGTGAATGATTTTATCTGGTTCTGGTTCTTCACAGAGTAAACTAAACGGGTCAGAACCAGGAACAGGAGTCACAGCCTGGTTCTGGTTCTGGTTCTGCAGAGTTCGGACCTGTCGGCCCAGTCGTCCCTGCGCCGCTCCTCCCTCTCTCTGGACCGCTCCATGTCGCTGCGTTCCCGCCTGAACTTGTCTCGCCTCCGACGGTCCAACTCGTCGTCGCTGTCGCCCATCTGAGGGAGACACACAGTTAGAACCGGATCAGAACCGGATCAGAACCAGATCAGAACCGGATCAGAACCAGAACTCTGGTCCGTCTCCTGTTGACGGTTCAAACCAAAACAAACTCTGAGGTTTCAGAGCAGAAACATTAAGATTTACTATTATTATTGATATGTGGATTCCAACATATTGATCATTAATCAGTGATCATCAGGAGCTGCAGCAGGTGAACTAGTTCACTGCTTTAGCATCAACAACAACAGCTGCATATAATGAACGGACTGAAACTAATATTTATGATTATTGTTCGATTATCTGAATGATTCAGTTTGAGGAGCTGCAGATTAATCAACCTGGAACCAAAACAACGGAGAAATTTCTCATCCTGAGATGTTTTAATAATCCGAAGCAGAGATTATTAATCTGTGATCATAATGAATTCACTGATAAACAGACCTGAGCTCTTCTTCTCCTCTGCTAGCTCTGTTAGCTCCTCGCGAGCCGCAGCTGTTTTCGTTAAGGTGTTAAACTAGAAACATACAATAACTAACAGCAGATTTTATATAAAAAATAATAAATAATATTTCATAAAATCATTTATTAAGAGGGAGATTCCCGCTGCAGCATGTTAGCATCAGTTTAGCTCCTGAGGCTAACAGGCTGCTTAGCATCAGAGCTAACTGAATAAACGTCTCCATGCGGGATTCATGCGTTTATCTGCGTTCATCAGCATTTCCTCCTGATTAGAATCAAACTTTATCAGGAGGTTTTAGTTCAGTTTACCTGGAAAAGCTCCACTTCGACTCCCAGAAGCACAAACTAGCCGCTAAGCTAACAGAGTGCCGCCACAGATCACTGTGGACCAACGACACTTCCGGCTGAGCTCAGCGGCGTAAGAAAGTTAGCTTAGCACCTAGTGGTTAAATCAGGAACTACAAACTGACTGATGAACTATAAACAGTAAACCTTCCTCTTCTTTTCATTTTTGACAGATGTGACTTTTTTTAAATAAATGTATATCCTCAGGGCGTTTTTTATTTTTTTTACATATTTATTACACAATTAAACAAGTTTCCATAAAAACATACATTTTTAAAAGGCTTTTTTATCATTTTAAGTGTTCAACGTGTATTTTTTTCTCCAAATATTATATAGAAAAGAGTTCAAATCAAACCACAATAACAGCTCAAATATAAATTATAACATCTGAAACTGAACAACTACATTTATGCCAGATAAGTATATTTTGTTATTATTTTCTTTTCTTGTTTCATTTATCAGCTCATTAATTCATTAGCTAAACTATTTATTGAGCCAATTTATTCATAAATGAATCATAGACTTAACTGGCAGAGTTAATAAAAGCGTAACTGAACAGTTTGGTTCTGTTGGGTTCTGAACTGGGCATGAGGTTCTGCTGAACCACCATCTTGGTTCTGGGTTGGTGGAAACCTGACAGCAGTCACATGACCCGGTTATGGAAGCTAAACTGGAATCACATCCACTAATCGCCGGCGTTTAAACCTTAGTGTATTCTTTACTTGTAGATATTTATTTCTTAACAAACGTCATCTGAAATCAACAAGTTGATATTTAATTAAACTTTATGATCTACATATGATGATCTCTTCAGAACAAAAACATTTGCAGGACTTCTGCGGCGCAGGGGGCGGGGCTTGAGACGAGGCGGGATTTTTAGAGGGGCGGAGCTTCAAACCTGGCGTGGTCATAAAAGGGGCGGGGCTTCTGTGTGTGACGCTCCAAGTTGTTCAGCCTGATGTGGAGGTAGAAAGAGGAGCAGCAGCTCTCCTATTGGCTGGCTCAGCCTAAGGGGAGGAGCCTGAGACCTGGAGGAGTGAGGAGCAAAGGGACAGTGAGACACAGAGGGACAGCAGAGACACAGAGGGACGCCCTGCAGGGGGACAGACCTGTCGTCCTCGTCCAGAGAAGACGGTGGTCAGTCCACTGCGCTTCTGGACGCGTCTCAGAGGACAACTCTGTCTCCTAGTCAGCTCCAACAGCAGCTCTGGACTGGACAGGGACAGACCTGGACAGAGAGGATCAGAACCAGAACTGCTCCATCAGAACCAGAACCCACTGGACCCTCTATCTGGGGTTCATCAGGGTCTAAACCAGTGTTTTCCAACGTGGGGGCCGCGGTCCCATGGGGGGCCGCCAGAGGGCGCTGTGGGAGGCTCAGGAAGTTTGAAGATGAGAAAAAAAAAATAAAAGCAAATCCTATAATTTTTTATCTTGCATTATAGTTTTTTTTCTGTTTCTCAATAGTTCTTTAAAGTAAAATATAAATTAAAATAATAGATTTAAATGTTTTTTCTGATGCTCATTTCCTGATTGGCTGCCGGTTGTTAGCTTAGCTAGCTAGAAATGGAAAAGTTTCCGACTCTGCTGTAAAAAACAATCTGATTTGATTCATATAAAATATTATAGAGGAGATAAAAATATGATCTGATCATAAAATCAACTCCAAAGATGATAATTATGCTGATTAAATGTAATAATTATTGAATATAAACAGTAAAGTTGCTGTTTGTTTCCATGTTTGGTCAGTGGGGTCAGAGGTCAAAGCTGTTCAGATCACCTGGTCTAAACTCACCTGGGGAGGCGTCAGGCTGCCTGGGGGGGGAGGAGGGGGAGGGAGGGGGCGGGGACTGGGGGGTGGGGGAGCGGGGGG